GCTGACACCCTGATATTGTATTTTCCTGAAAATAAGCCCTAATGCTTATTTTGGAGCCCAAAAAATATAAGACTGGGTCTTGTTTTTGGGGAAATATGGAATACATATTCACATACACATGCACATGCACATAGATGATACAGATACAGTTAGTCCTTACTTAGCATCCCTAATTAGGCTCAGAACTTCCATGGTTAAGTGGCATGGTAGTTGAGTGTGATGTCACATGATCATGCTGCTTTACAACATCATTTACAATATTTTCAATTGAAGTCCTTAAGCAAGGACTGGCACAGGTCATTAACCAAAGACTTCACATGATTGCTATTTTTACTTTTCTGCTTGTTCTCCCATTGACTTTGCTTGTAGGAAGTGGCAAAGAAGGTCAAAAATTACAATCATATATCTCAGAATGCTATGACAATCAGGAATGCAGCCTGGTAGCTAAGCATTCAAAACATGATCATGAGTCATGGGCATGCAGCAAGAGTTATAAGTCTGGGAACCCGTTGTAACTACCATTAATTGAGCATCATTGTAGCTTCAAACAATCTGAAATATATATGGTTGTTAAGTGAGAACTATCTGCATAGATATACGTATAAAAAGATATAACCATTTAATATTTAGTGTTTATTTTATTTGTCAATCGCTTACAAGATACAGGTATAAGACTAAATATAGTTTTGAATACATAAGTTAGATACTTATAAGAAAAATAAAAAACAATAGGACAGGGACGGTAGGTACGATTGGTGCACTTATGCACGCCCCCTACAGGCCTCTTAGAAGGGGGTGAGGTCAATAGTAGACCGTCTAAGGTTAAAGTTTTTGGGGTTTGGGGAAGAAGACACAGAGTCAGGTAGAGTATTCCAAACATTGACCACTATGTTGCTTCAAGTCATATTTTCTGCAGTCAAGTTTGGTGCGGTTAACCTTGAGTTTGTATCTATTGGGTGCTCTTGTATTGTTATGACTGAAGCTGAAGTATTCATTTGCAGGTAGGACATTGCAATGTATGATTTTATATACTATATTTAGATCGGACCAGAGGTGGCGTAGTCCTAGGTTTTCTAGGTCTAGAGTTTCAAGTCTGGTAGCATAAGGTATTCTGCAATGAGTAGAGGAGCGGAGAACTCTTCTTGTGAAATATTTCTGGACTTTTTCAATTGTGTTAATATCAGATACATAATGCAGGTTCCAGACCGATGAGCTGTATTCAAGTATAGGTCTAGCAAATGTTTTGTATGCCCTAGTTAGTAGTGTGATATTACCAGAGAAAAAGCTACGTAGGATTAGGTTAAGAACTCTTAATGCCTTTTTGGCTATGTAGTTACAGTGAGCTCTAGCACTTAGATCATTAGAGATGAGTACTCCAAGGTTCTTGACAAAGTTTGGATGTACCTACAGATAGGATCTGTGGAAACCAAAACCAGAAAAAACAAATTACCCAAAACAATAAGGAAGCTTCAATCCAAAAAGAAATCACTTTGGCAGAAAAACAAATCTGGTCACGTTGCCAACTTCAAAAGCCGATACAAAAATTTATGCCACCAGATAAAAACTGAATGCACCAATTATCACATTAAACAAGAAGAAAACCTTCTATGCACCAATTCTACCTGTGCTTAATACAATTTTATAAACAACAAACTAAAAGACTCAAGGTCCATCCCACCCCTGAAAGGACCTAATGGTAAAGACTGCAATGACGACACTATTAAAGCCAACATCTTTAACACATTCTTTGGCTCAGTATTTGTAAACAGCAATGGATCATGCCCAGTATTTCCTAGCTGAACCACAGACAACTACAATGATCTAATACATATCGATTTTACAGAAGACATTGTTGAAAAAGCACTGCGCAATCTAAAACCATCCCTATCTATTGGACCAGATGGAATATGTGCCTACTTCTTAAAAAAGCTACCCACTGCCATAGCTAAACCTCTAAGCATAATCTTTGAAAAATCTTTCAGGACCAGCTCCTTGCCAAAACTATGGTCACAAGCCACGGTCATCCCCATCTTCAAAACAGGAGACCTCAGCCTAGTTAAAAATTATAAACCAATCTCTTTATGCTGCATCACCTGTAAAGTCATGGAATCAATTATTAATCAATCCATTATCCTCCACTTAGAAACAAACAACCTACTCTCTAATAAACAATTTGGTTTTTAGGAAAAAACTATCATGTAATCTGCAACTCTTACACTGCAAAAACATATGGACTACACAACTCGATCAGGGCAAAGCAATAGACGCAATCTACACAGACTTCTGTAAAGGCTTTGATTCAGTGGTACATGACAAACTACTCCTAAAACTAAAATATTACGGTATCTCGTGGCCACCTGCATTACTAGATAGAAGCATTCCTGTCAAACAGACAACAAATGTTCAAAATTGGGAGTGTCCTATCAAATTCTGCACCTGTCAACAGTGGTGTCCCCCAAGGCAGTGCTCTAGGACCAACTCTCTTCATACTCTACATAAATTTATTCTGTGATTATATCAATAGCAACTACATTCTTTTTGCTGATGATATAAAGCTATTCAACACCACAGACAATACTGCTACCCTTCAAAAAGACCTTGACTATGTATCAGAATGGTCAAACAAATGACAACTTCAAATCTCAACAAATAAATGCTCTGTCCTACATATTGGCAAAAAAAATCAGAAAATAAAATACAAGCTGAATAGTCAAGATCTTGTTGATGATCCAAACTCTGTCAAGGATCTTGGAGTACTCATCTCAAATGACCTAAGTGCTAGAGCCCACTGTAACTACATAGCCAAAAAGGCATTAAGAGTTGTTAACCTTATCTTATGTAGCTTTTTCTCTGGTAATATTACACTAATAACTAGAGCATACAAAACTTTTGCTAGACCAATACTCGAATACAGCTCATCAGTCTGGAACCCACATTACGTATCTGATATTAACACAGTTGAGAAAGTCCAGAAATATTTCACAAGACGAGGTCTCCACTCCTCTACTCGTTGCAGAATACCTTATGCCACCAGACTCGAAATTCTAGACCTAGAAAACCTAGAACTATGCCGCCTTCGGCCCGATCTAAGTATAGTATATAAAATCATACATTGCAATGTCCTACCTGCAGATGAATAGCTTCAATCATAACAATACAAGAGCACACAATAGATACAAACTCAAGGTTAACCGCACCAAACTTGATTGCAGGAAATACGACTTGAGCAATAGAGTGGTCAATGTCTGGAATACTCTACCTGACTCTGTGGTTTTTTTCCCCAAACCCCAAAAACTTTAACCTTATACTGTCTACTATTGACCTCAACCCTTTCCTAAGAGGTCTATAGGGGGTATGCATAAGCGCACCAACGTGCCTACCGTCCCTGTCCTTTTGTTTCTTTTATATATTTTTTATTTTTCTTATATGTATCCATGTATTCAAAACTATGTTTTTACTTATACCTATTATCTTGTAAGCAATTGGCAAATACAAATAAATAAATAAATAAATAAATAAATAAATAAACAAACATTTGTTTCTTTGTTTAAATTAAGAACATTTCCAGAGACTGTAAAAGAAGACAGGGGATATACTCTCACTTTTACAAGATTCTGTTTAATATAACCTCACTATAAAGATGCTTCTGGTTGTGCTTCTTTTCGTGTTTACATTTTAGGCGGATGGATTATCATTATTCTTTCCCCCCTCAAAATTCTTGCCCCTAATGATGAGGAGACATAGGCATAGAATAACAGAGTTGGAAGGGACCTTGGAGGTCATCTAGTCCACCCCCCTGCTCGAGCAGGAGAGTCTCGTCCAAATATTAGCCTTTATCTAGGATCGAACTCACAGCCTCCCAATTCTGAGTTGAGAGCTCCACCTCATGTACCTTCTTTTTCTCCTGATTCTCCAAAACCCTTATGAACTCCCCTTCTCCTTTCCTTGGCAACATATCTTATACGGAGCATATGTTTGACTTCTTATCCCTACAAACTACAATGTATATGCTGTGGCATCATTAACACCCCCCCCCCCCCAAAAAAAATCTCAAAACCCTATTAATTTCTATTTGTTAAAATATGTTTTAATGTTGTTTCCCCATTGAATACCATTTCCCCAATAGCTATTAATTATTTATTTATTTTCACTGTGTTTTCTATTGACATGTTTTTCAAAATCTTGTCCCTCAATAAACTCAATTTCTTTTTTAAAAAATATATGTCATCAGCATTTTTAGAATTATATATTTTTCTGATATTAAATATCAATTTCTGTTGGATAGCTCTGGAAGCACTATCTGAATTAATTCAGACAATGTCTGAATCAAAGTCTTGTACTGACCTAATTTATGAGTGCTCCTTTACATTGTACCATGAACATATGTAGTTGAAGTTAAAATAATTAATGGAATATGGGGGGGGGGGGAGAGAGAGAGAAATTATATCAATGTATAACTAAGTCTCTATGGCTCATACATCTCTTATTATTGATCAACATATAACTCTTTTTTTCATAAGTGGTTCAATACTAATGTTAGAAGTTAAATATTGCTAACTCAAGCTTTTAACTTTGTACAATTGAACAGTTCTAGAGACTATAATGTTGGGCCAGTCCAACACTTTGTTTTAGAAGTGAGGAAATCACGCTGCTTTAACAGAGTATATCTCCTGAACTGTCACTGAAGCGAATGCCTTTCATCCCACTGTATTCTTCAACTGGGGGTCGGGGGATGCAATTTTACTTAAGATGCAAGTCTAGATTGTTTTTGGGGTATGTGAATTTAAAAAAATAGTTCTTCCTAAGCCTTCTTTTTATTATTAAAAGAGTCAAATATATGCTTAGTAATTGTTTCGATGGTATTATATGTTGTTTGATCTCAGTGCTCTGTTGAAATTGTTACAATTTGCTGGTGACAAGTAACATGTTCTATTGAGTTCATTGGAGTTTAATCAATTTCCTTTATTTGTATTTGTATTTTAAAAGGTGGAATCAAATATCTAAACTGAAATCATATTTCTTGTTTTTTGTGGAAGCTTCCAAAGTGCTGTTGTGATCTCTTTGTTTCTCATACTGTAAATGATAGGGTTCATGAAAGGAGGGACCATTGAGTACAACACTGCAAGTAGCAGATCTAAGCCTGATGAGGTTCTGAACATTGTTCCCAAACAAGCATAGACTCCAGTAAAGTAGAATAAGCAAAGCACAGCCAAATGGGGCAGACAAGTTGAAAAGGCTTTTTTCTTTCCTTCCACAGAAGGAATAATAAAAACAGCTCTAAAGATGTACACATAAGAAGTAACTGTGAAACTAAAGCAGCTTACACATATTAACACAGTAAATATGAGGGGCCCAAGTTCAGTAAGATAGGAGGAACTGGAACATGAAAGTTTCAGGATCTGTGGGATTTCACAGAAGAATTGGTTGATTTTGTTGGAACAGAATGGGATAGTAAAAGTGCAAGCTGTGTTTAGTGATGCATCAAAAAACCCAAAGATCCATGCACTGGTGGCCATTTTCAAACAAGCCTCCCTGTTCATTTCTTTCACATAATTCAGTGGATTACATATAGCAACATATCTATCATAAGCCATCAAGGTCAGGAGCAAGAATTCTGATGCTCCTGCCCAAAAAAAGAAGAAGACTTGTGCCATGCATTCATAATATGATATCCTCCTGGTATTCATAACTGAATTAGCCATAGCTTTTGGAACAGTGACCGAAATGAAGCTTAGATCAACAATATTTAAATTAACTAGGAAAAAATACATTGGTGTTTGAAGATGAGGGTTGAGGGTTACAACAGTTATCATAAGAAGGTTTCCAATCAATGCAGCCAGATAGATAAAAAAAAATCCTCCAAATGTTAACATGCGAAGTGCCAGAACATCGGAGTATCCTAAGAGTTGGAAATCAATAATAACACTTCGATTATCCATTTCTTTCTTTTGTAAGCAGCCTGTAAAGAGAAAAACTCTTTTTGATACTCTGAATTAATGAGAGTATAAGGGACAACCAAAATTGTATGTTTACCTTCAGTTACTGAATAGCAATAATTTTCTTATTGTGCTGATAATACATAATGATCCAGTAGAAGTTTAAAAATTTCTCTGCTCTTTCATGCTGACTTAGAAGCATCAATGACAAATAGGCAGATGTCTGAATTAATAAATCAGGCAGCCTCTACTGTATGATTCTAATAAGGCAAAACATTTTCCCTTTTGAAAATGGGAGAGAAAGCATTATCCTTTATTAATTAGACATATGCAAAGAAATAAAGTAAGATAGATAGATGATAGATAGATAGATAGATAGATAGATAGATAGATAGATAGATAGATAGATAGATAGATAGATAGATGATGGACTGATGATAAGACAAACAGGCATATACCAACAAGGAGAGATGGAGAGAAAGAACTAGTGTTATGGCAGCTAATAACATTGTATTGTTTTGATTTAACCAAAACAATTAGCAAAATTTCAAGTTAAATGAACATTTAAGCTTATACTGTCTAATTATTGAGCTAAATGGAAGTAGCAAAAGGAGACAAAAAAGTCTCCATCCTGAGCTTTTTCTCATAGCATGTTGAATGCTATCTGGGTTGAGGAGCTCATCACCTGGTACTACATTGTCAACCACTTTTAAAATTATATCACTTTTTATGCCATGTAGCTTTCTTGGTAAAATACAGGAGTGATTTATTATTGCCTTTTCTCATGCCATTTGAAACTATTCTTGTCACTAAAGTACTTTGACCATCTTATTCTATTGCTGTTCTCCAATCTGTGCCTACTTGCTTTAAGTGGGCAACTGGGAATACCTTCAAACTTTGTATAACCCTGCTAACTGTATATATGCATGGTTTATGCTTACACTTATTTATTTAATTTTCTCCTACTTTGATTATTTTTAATAAATAATTCAAAGCATACCTTCCTTCTCCTATTTCCCCCACAAAACAACCCTGTGAGGTGGAGAGAGGGGGGGGGAGGGAGGGAGGGAGTGGGAGAGAGAGACTATCCCACCAAACCAACTTTCATACCTAAGGTAGGACTACAACACACAGCCTTCCATGCTGTAATCTAGTGCCTTAACCTGCAAACCTAACTGGTTCTCTTCATATTTCATTCATCTCTTCTAAAAACACCTCCCTTCCATCCCACACTGAGACAAAATCTCAGAACTTGTCTCAGTGATGTCAGTTGATGTATCTGCTAATTGTTTTGCTTAGTCCAATTCTTTACATTAATAGATCTCAATTTTTGCTGACCTATATCATTACTCTTATATAATTAGTGTATCAGGAAGTAAGACAGACAACTTTTAAAAAACATCCAGTATCATTAAGATTAATTTTTGCCTTATACTCTCTTATTATCAAGCTGAACTTCTTGTGAGCTTAGGTTGCTCCAAACTTTAATTCAAAATGAGAAAAATCAAGTTAGAAGTTTTGGCCATCCCTTAAACAAACCAAGTTGACACATATAAAGCTTCTTTCTTTAATAAATGTGAGGAAAAACTAAATACCTTTGAGAAATCTGTCTCATGTATGCAGTTCTGCTGTATTAATTCATTCTTTCTTTTTGTCAAATGATTGTTTGCTTTAGATTCTGCTTATGATCAACCATAATTGATTTACAGCTTGATTAGATAATTCATATATAAAATTAGACTGACACATTTTTAAAGAAAGGTCCAGCAAACATTTACAACTTTAATATATTTCAAAATCTGGACAAACACTTCATACTTACTAGACTCTTTAAGTTCCTCTTTATTTATATTTCTGTCTTGAAAGTTAATTTAGCATAACCTTAACTACTGTTTTTATCTGTGTTCCATTCTCAAGAAAATGTCATATCCAAGTCTGTCATATTGTGGTAAAGGGACTTGTTTCTTCTTTCAAACATGAATATCAGTAGAAGAATATTTATGTTTTTCTATTTTTTTTCTTTTCCAATTAAATGACTATTTCCCTGGACATCATAGTTCAATTTCTTATATAATCACTAGAGAATCATAGAGGGGTCCTTGATGCTCTTTGAGCTGCGTTGTTTCCTTGTAGACATTTCATTACCCAAACTATATAACATTATCAAAAAAGTGGGGGTTGCTCTCAGTATATATTGTAATGGTTGGCCCAGTTATTGTTGGAGGGAATAGTCTTGGAGGTTCTTTCGTGGAATATTTGCTGTGCACTTGTTTGGCAGTTCCTTGAATGGGGTATTGTTTACTTCTTGGATGTTGGTCTGATGTTACTCTTGGAGTCTATGCTCATCTTAGTGTTGATTACTGGTGGGGAAGTGTTTTGGTCTTTGTTCCCTTGTTAGCTGAAGCAAAACAAGCCAGCAATTAACATATAATATTGCATCATTTGCCAATTAGAGTACCTGTTCAAGTTATGGTCATGTCAAGGACTATCTGTATATATTGTATAAAATTCATTAGCTACATATTGTTTATTTTATTTATTTATTTATATGATTTGTCAATCGCTTACAAGATAAGAGGTATAACTATAAATAATTATGAATACATGAAATGGATACATATAAGAAAAATAAAAAGAAACAATAGGACAGGGACGGTAGGCCAAACTTATGCACACCCACTACAGACCTCTTAGGAAAGGGGTGAGGTCAATAGTAGACAGTCTAAGATTAAAGTTTTTGGGATTTGGGGAAGAAACCAGAGAGTTAGGTAGAGTATTCCAGACATTGACCACTCTGTTGCTGAAGTCGTATTTCCTGAAATCAAGTTTGGTGCAGTTTACCTTGAGTTTATATCTATTGTGTGCTCTTGTATTGTTATGGTTGAAGCTGAAGTATTCATTGACAGGTAGGACATTGTAATGTATGATTTTATATACTATACTTAGATCAGACTGAAGGCGGCATAGTTCTAGGTTTTCTAGGTCTAGAATTTCAAGTCTGGTAGCATGGTATTCTGCAACGATTAGAGGAGTGTAGAATTTTTCTTGTGAAATATTTCTGGACTTTCTCAACTGTGTTAATATCAGATACATAATGCAGGTTCCAGACCGATGAGCTGTATTCAAGTATTGGTCTAGCAAATGTTTTGTATGCTCTAGTTATTAATGTAATATTACCAGAGAAAAAGCTACGTAAGATAAGGTTAACAACTCTTAATGCCTTTTTGGCTATGTAGTTACAGTGGGCTCTAGCACTTAGATCATTAGAGATGAGTACTTCAAGGTCCTTGACAGAGTTTGGATCCCCAACAATATCTTGACTATTCAGCTTGTATTTTATTTTCTGATTATTATTTTTTTGCCAGTATATAAGACAGAGCATTTATTTGTTGAGATTTGAAGTTGTCATTTGTTTGACCATTCTGATACATAATCGAAGTCTTTTTGAAGGGTAGCAGTATTGTCTATGGTGTTGAATAGCTTTATATCATCAGCAAAGAGAACGCAGTTGCTCTTAATATGATCACAGAGGTCATTTATGTAGAGTATGAAGAGAGTTGGTCCCAAAACACTGCCTTGGGGGACATCACTGTTTTTTTTAAAAAAAATAAATTTTATTGGTTTTTAAAAACAAACATAAACAAACAAAACATAAAAGCATCAAACTTTCTTCCATAAGTATACAAGCAGTGTGCCGGTTGGTTTACAGATTATTTTGTGCATCCATTTCGTAGTCATCAGTTACAGTTACATTGCATAATAACTCATATTATCAATCAAAAATTGAGTACCCTAGTATCATTATTAATCAATCATTCGACTATAATTTTATTCATTCATATTTTACGAGATAACCATAATTTACTTAGTTTATTTTATAACAATTCATATTATCCTCCCAAATCTATCCTAAAAACATTTTGTAGATATAATAAAAAAGTACATCTTTATATATTTATTATTTTCTAAAAATCTACATATTTCATTCCTGTATTTTATTATCTAACCATTGATAGAAAATTTTATAAAATTGTTTATCCTCTTGTTCTCTAATTTCAAATGTCAATCTACTCATTTCAGCACATTCCAATATTTTCTTAATGATTTCCTCCTGCGATGGTATTTTCTCATTTTTCCAGTTTTTAGCAAATACAATCCTAGCCGCTGTTAATACATTTACAATCAAATATTTCAAATCTTTGCTATATGTATCAGGTAAAATTCCCAATAAAAATATCTCTGGTTTCAAATCTATATGTTTTTTTGTCATTTTTTCCAACCACATGTGGATTTTAGTCCAGTATTTTCTAGCGTCCGCACAAGTCCACCACATATGGTAGTATGAGCCAGGTATCTGATGACATTTCCAACATTTTTCGGATTTATTCTTGAACATTCTTGCTATTCTTGTCAGGGGAAAATGCCACCTGTAAAACATCTTATACAAATTTGCTTTATAAGCTGTTGATATTGTCATTTTATAATTTTGAGACCACAATTTTTGCTATTTCTCTAAATCAATCCCATATCCAAAGTTCTCCCCACAAACAACCATAACTTGTTCTTCTTCTAGTTTAATTTCTAATAAATATCCATACAGTTTTTTAATCACCTTTTCATCAGTACCTGTCAAAATCTTATCTAGATCAGTCAACTTA